CTGCTGGTATTAAATGAATGGTAGCAATTGATTGTCTTAATGTCAAAAAAGCAATACATTTTCCTCAAATTTGGTATTCCTAAAAATGCATTATTGAAATTACAAAACACCCACAAGAAAACCTACAACTTCAGTTTGGATTTTGAATGTGAAAGTCCTTTTTTAATACTATATGGACTAACTTTTTTGATACTACATGGACTAACTGCCCCTTCGTTGTCATAACAGCCAGTCTTTCCCGGTAATTTCCTTTTGGTTCTTCAATATGGTTGTTTTTATTATCCTCACAATTGAAGTTCAACTTTCATGCAAACATAAGTTTAGTGTTGTGACAGCACATCAGATTATACATTGTTTATTATTGTGTTCCATCAAGTACCTCCTATAGTCTTCTCATCACTTTGAGACTGTAAGATTTCACCCTGCTTCCAGAATGTATGCTAAGCTAAGCTAACTGTCAACAGTTTCATATTGAATGGATTAATATGAGAGTGTCGTTCCAAACCCAAAATGTCAAAATATTCCTTTATCCGCAATTTTTCTTTTCGTAACCTAAAACTAACCATACCTTTACCATGTTAGGTCATGTTTTTTTCAGTTTACAAAACCCTCATTAAGTGTTGTTTTTGGAGCGCACTGATAAAGCACCAATTTTATTTGTATGAGGACTTGTTGGCCCTTGGACAGGATTGCTAAATGTCAAAGGCGGTTGCAGTGGTGGGATATACTACTGCCACAGGGAGAAGCAATTTTGAAGGCAGACAAAAGCACCATATGGCCTCAACCGAAATGCTGTGCACTTTAGATATTACCGGTTTATATACAAGATGGCTGAAAACAAAACACCAAATGGGATTTCTATTTCCTTGTTATTTGGGAAAATGTTCAACATATTATTGGAATTAAGGAATCTGAGCAGTTGTTTTAATTTGACACTTGGCTTGTACTTTCTATATAAATCATACCAATGCAGTAAGCTTCAGTATAACCTAATAAACTTGCTCTGTGTATCTTTTCTTTTTGGACAGATGTAGCACATGGCAGTTTAGCTGCTGTGAAAGCAACTACTTGCATTCAAACTCTGTCCATCTTTTCAATTGGTATATTTTCCCTTCCACTCCCCTTCTCGGTTCCTTTGCTGCTTCCCCTCTGCTTTTTCCTTTTTCATGTTCCCTTTCTCACCCAGTGTCTATCATTTCCTTTTCTCTCCCTCTCTCTCTTGCTCCCCTCTCTTTTCTCTTGTTTCCTTTGAAGTGCTAAACAATGAGAGGGCTACACTCCCTGTTAAGCTCATAGGGAAATCCAGGCTGAAACTGCATGGCACAGTGCAGCACAGCAGAATCTTGTCCTCGGGACCACATGGGGATGGGAGGGGAGGAAGCAGCATCAGAAGTTTGGTCAGCATGCAGTGACAATGACAATGGCTGCACAGAGCTTTGATCCTCCAAGTCGTCACCAGACTACATCAGCACAGTATGGCTGATGAATGCTATGAGTCATTTCCAGAGACCATGCCTATCTGTGCCTGTCACTCTGATTGTTGAACCTTGACAACTGTCCATTTCTTGACAGGATGTGTATGAGACTATCAGGGTGTAATTATGGAGACCAGAAGATTTGCATGTCAGGACCCTATTGACTTTAATGATTGAATTAAAGCATCTCATTAGTCCAGCGTGTCAGCATAGAGGAGAAAGACAATCACTTGTCCTTCCATTGTCTTTGTCTTCCGTCTATTGTCTTTTTTTCCTTGCATATGCAGCCACAGACACATCCATGCTGTGATGAATGCTATTCATTACAAAAGGATGGAACGGGAAATGAAGCAAAATGAGTGCTTTGGGAAGCAATCCGTGACTGGGGCATATACTATCGTCTGCTGAAGCATCTGAGACATGTGTTTATCCACTCCCACATGCTTCCTTGGAGCTACATCTCACAGTTACTCGCATTATGCTGTATGCTGCTCCGTTTGAAATCTGATACAGCCTCTCTTTTCTCCAATTTCCACTTTTCTGTCTTTTCTGCATATGGCTGTTTCTCTTGCATGTATATTCATACGATAATGCCAACACCGCATGATAGTCTTTCATGTGGCCCTTGATGCATTACTTGAGTCAGTCTGTCTCACAGAGCAAGCTCTACATGTATAATTCACCCTCCATCAACCACTGTTAATGCAAGCAAATGCCTTTCTCCTCTTCATAGTGAAATGACTGATTCCACTTAGGGATTTGTGATGACAACTTGACATTTCATATTTATTTTAATGAATCAAGCATTTTATTAAGTTCATATCTGTGTAGAAATAGCATATGTATCACAATTGCTTTCCCTCTGCCTATAAATATCTGCACTGGTGTTTTAATCACTTTGTGAAGCATGTGTAGAAGATTACTTCAGTCCAGTGGTGCTCTGCAGTCTCATCTAATGGCTGTTTAATTTGTTTGATTACTCTGATGAGGTGAACAAGTCTTGAGGTCTCAACATGCTGCTAGAATTGCCTGAATTCTTAAGCTCTCTGCAGGTCCTTTCTCTCCATTAGAAACACAATTTGATAATTGCTAAGACAATACACATATTTTGTGTAGAGGGTGTGAACACACAGTACAGGTCACTGATAATTGCATAAATGCATTAATTTGAGAACTGATTAAATAATTAGGTTATCTTTTTATATCAACATACTTGTGTTGACATCAGTGTGAACCTTGTGAGGTTAACAACAAATGTAAACATAATTGATACTAGAATTTATGTAGCAAATGTCATGGCAATCCACTAGTAATATAGTAGATTGTTAGCAGGGTGAAAACTAGAAGTATTGTTAATTTACTGAAATATTAACTTAAACTACAAGTAAAAGTACTGATGAAAAAAATGGCCTAAATAGTCCTTTTTCAAAAAGTACTCATGTTTCATGCATTAGCAATTGCAGGAATTCAAAAGGGGGGATCCATGTAGATAACAAAGCACATTTCTCTGATAAATGATACAAGGTATGAATGGATCAAACTAAAGCAATTTGTTTTCTTAACAAATACACCACCATAACATTATGACCACTGGCTGAAGTGAATAACACTGGCACCTGTCAGTGGGTGAGCTATATCAGGCAGCAAGTGAACATTTTGTCCTCAAAGTTGATGTGTTGGAAGCAGGAAAAATTGGCAGCGTCAGGATTTGGGCGACTTTGACAAGGGCCAAATTGTGATGGCTAGACGACTGGGTCAGAGCATCGCCAAAACTGCAGCTCTTGTGGGGTGTTCCCGGTCTGCGGTGGTCAGTACCTATCAATAGTGGTCCAAGGAAGGTAAGAGGTGAACCAGAGACAGGGTCATGGACGGCCAAGGCTCATTAATGCACCCGGGTAGCAATCCAAAAGACGAGCTCAAATTGTTGAAAAAGCAGGAATTTTGTCCGTAAAAAATCCTACTAAAAATGTGTTTGATCCTACTATAAACACATGTAATTAGTATACATTTCTCCCAATGCACTGCAAACAAACAGCTAGGCTAAGGCCTAATGTGTCTCCGTTTGGTTCCAGTTTTTCCAAATCTTCATTGCCTCAGCGTCGGTCAATGTAGTCACCTCTCCAAAGCTGTGCCTGCTGCAGTTTGTTTTTTTTTTGTTTGTCTTCCTGGTTTTTATCTGTGGGGCCATAATTCATTGGCCTGCAGTGTGCTTTGCTTGCCGCATGCGGAAAAAATAGAACAGATGCTGGTGGTTGCAGATCGCAAGCCAACCATGGAGCTGGTTAACATGGTCAACGAAATTAAGTGGGTAGCTTTTCGGGTCGCGTCATATCCCATCATGTCCCTGGCATATTGTAAACAAAAAGTTTGAATAAAAATGGTGGGCCTACTCAATAGTGAATGATGATTTTAAAAGATTGCATAGACTAATGCATACTTAATTAAGAGTGAAATTGTTGTTGGGTGAAGCAGTTAGCCTCTAAAAATTAAACATATTATATATGATCTCCAAAACTATCCCCAGCTGTTTTGTTATGCTAGTTAGCAAGCTTAGTGATTGTAGCTGGCAACCCCACAACGAGGACGGCATCTCTGAATCTGAGAAGCTGCATGTGGTCATTCTGCTCAGCGGTTGTTGATCATCTGTCACTATTTTGTTCTGTAGAATTTTATTGTTGAGGTTATGGAGTTATTTAAAGGCTCTTCGCTGTTGATGGAGCTAACCTTCTCCTTGTTTCCAGTTTATGTAAACAGCAGCATGTTGACAACTGTCATAGAAAACTTTTAAAAACTTAAATATTATGCTGTTAATGCTGTTACTCACAGATCAACATCAACATCAAAGTTGAGACAAATAAAGTTAATTAAACCTCCAAACTAAACAGCATAAACAAAAGAGAAAAGATACTGTCTTATATTCAGGAATGGTGATATGCATGTGAGACCTTCCTGCACTTTAATATACTGATAAACACATCCAGGTGAGTGTTTACCACCAGTTGTGCCAGCTATATATAGTTGCATGGCTCAGTTAAACTTTTAACAATTCAAATCTGATCACGTAGCAGGGACCATGCACATTTACACAACAGCGTGCAGTGTGTGTCCAGCATACTATGTCTGAAAGATTTGAATCAAATAAAAGACAAATCAACCAGACTAATAATGCCAATTTTCCAGCCAAGCTGATCATTTTCATAAAAGTGTCAGAAATACTTATGCAGGTTCCATCATAACACATTACATTGTACAGTACAAGGCTGCTCTCCATCTCGTGCAAGACAAACTCAGGTGTAGGGCAGTTACTCTATGCATCACTGAACAGTATAATGGAGACTGACAGGATGTGTGAGAGAATGATGGGATAGTATCTGAGACAGATATTATGAATTGCTCTCATATTCTTAAATAAATGAGTAGATGATTGTGCTATAGTTAACTGAGACATGGTATGTCCCTGCATCGTCTGTATGTTGATGTTCTGAATTGTGCTTTGTGGATCTAACACTCTTTTTTACTTCATAGGTGTGTGTGTGTGCGTTTGACTAAAGGGCAAGATGTGGTGTGATCACAGGAACTCAAATCAGGTATTTCTTTCTCAGATTTTTGGTAGTTTTTGTAACCTGTAAAATATTCAGTATGTGTGCTTCTGTTGTGTGCATGCATGTGTGCATTAGTGTCCTTCTACTCAGCCAGTCAATTACGCTGTGATCTTGCTCTGGTGGACTAGAGTGGGACATTCCAGAGACATACTGAATCAGACAGGATGGGCCGTTGAGGTTTTTAAAGCATTGCTTTGCTATGTTTTATTGATGTCCCTAAGATGATTCGTCCTGACATTTGCTGATGCTCTCTGTCTCAAGAAAATCTCTTGCCATCATAAAACTGCTTGTCCAGGGTCCCCTTAGTAAATATTTAAGGGGTCCGCCCATCAGTGTTGACCATTCCCTAGATAGTCCCTAGTGTCCAGGGCCCAGGTTGTGTTTTTAGAGTAAGAATTTTACTGTTATTAGGGATTGCCAAGGTTTACACTTACCTTTAAAGTTAGGATAGAAAGTAGACTCCAAAAATACACAGCAACAAACATTTCAATCAATCAAACAGTCTGGCACCAAAAATTAGCGGAAAGTGGCTAAGAGCTGCATAGAGCGGCCGTTTGTAGTTAATTTCCATTGGGATTCACAGCAACCATTTCACAGTGCAGGGAATTATTTTATTCAATGTCAGAAATTCTGGTAAACAGAGCTGTATCTAGTGTTTGGCCTCAACATTAAAGACTCTATCACATTTTGCTGTTTAGGGGTTTCTATGACACATTGAATTGGCAAGCCCCAGACCCATGATTGATCCCCCGTGTTCATTATTGTCTCAACAAAATCTCTGTTCAACATGATGATTTTGTCTTTGCAGTTTGCTTTTTTGTTGCTCAAAGGGCGAAAGCAGCAGCGTATCTTGACAGTCAATATCTGTATCCTGATTGGGCGATGGAGGCGTTTAGAAGGAACTCTGCCTGGGCAGGACTTATGAGGGAACATTGTGTTTTGTTAAGAAATTAATTAGATGTTAGACTGTTTTAAACATTTACATTTATTGTAAACCAGAGTTATGTAACTGACAGACAATGCAATGTTACTCAATCAGACATCAATTAATTTTGGGGGTCTTCCGCTTAGTAACAGCAGCTCAGTAAAGCCCAAATCTATGTCTGTGCTGGAGGGCTCAACACTCAAACTGAGATTTATGTAATTATTGATAGAATTATTATAAAAATGGCTTTTCACACCAGGTTGTAAAGCGTTTCAGCTGATATTGGCGCTGTGTTAAGTCATTGTACTACTCTAATTAATGCAAGTTTTCCAGTTTTCTCCTGGAAAAAATCGTTTCATGCAAGTACTCAGAGTTTTTGCAAATGCAAATTAGGACTCATATGTTGATAATTTGAATTTCTGTGTGTGTGTGTGTGTATGTGTGTGTGTGTGTGTGTGTGTGTGTGTGTGTGTGTGTGTGTGTGTGTGTCACTTTCTGTTTTGGTCTCATTCACCCCCTCTCTGTTTCTATCATTTCTTTGTTGTGTAAATAGAAAAGGTCTGGTGTTGACTTTAGCTTTTGGTCCACCACTTCTGAAGGTAACGGGCCCAGTAACTTACACACACACACACACACACACACACACACACACACACACACACACACACACACACACACACACACACACACACACACACACCACAAAAAGGCACACAGATTTGCAATACACATACTGAGTGACAGGTTCAGAGTTTGTGTGTGAACTGAAGAACAAGGAGAAGGGAGAAGAGAGGCAGGAGAAATAAAGAGGCAGTGGTGCAGGAAGTGGAGCATGTACCACAGCATAGGGGAAATATGCGCTGAGCAAGTGGTAGGAGCAAAAGGGGAGTGGAGATGGAGCTGATGGGGTTCAGATGGTCATAACCATAGATTGCATTTTCGGTCAAGCTCAGGCGCAGATCATGCTCACATGCTGCTATAAGATGGGGGATCAGGATCAGAGATTGGACAGATTGTCAACCTTGTATGTATAAGGAAGTGCAATCACAGGTGTGGCTTCAGCTCAATGGTCTTTGAATCAATTATTGTATGCCTGCACTATATTATAGAGGAGTCAGTGAAGGTATTTTTTGTTCCAAAACCATAGCTGAACCAGAGACACTGGCTTCATCGTCTCATGATTAATTACATTTGTTGTTGTCTTTCAAAACAGTCCCTGCCTCTTCATGGGATTTCTATCAATATAAAGGAGAGGAAATCATGCCTTTGAGACAATCCAATTCAGTGCTTTACTGTAACACTAATATAATCTCCCTCCTTACTCAAGGTCTGAATGCATCTCCCTGACAAAACAGTAATCAGTGCACAGTTCCCTCTGCCTCCCATCCCTTAATGGGATGTTAAAAACTGCAGCATGTTTATTGCTGTTGTTTCACTCATCTCCAATTTCATTTGGATGTTTCCAGTAGGAAGAACACAGACAGCAATTCAGGGAGGCTGCGCTGTCTGACAACTTGGCCTTTTTCTTGTGTGTGTGTGAGAGTGGTGTGTCTTGACATAATGCAACCTGTACTGTACTGAACTGAGTTCACCTGGCAGTCGGTTGTAACAGGTTTAGGAAACAAATGGTGTGTAGATGCAGAGCACCCAGTAGGGTGATATTATCCGGAATAATCTTTGTGTTTGTGGTTTTGCAGTGAAGATCGTCCAGTCGTTGCTGTGTATTCAAAACATGTCCATACCTATTACTATTTCAGTGATGTTTTATTCTGTATTTCTTGTACATGTCACTGTGAAGCAGCACTGTATCTTCAATTTAAATCGTTCTGAATTTGTGGTGGCATGTGGAGGGAAGTGAGAATCTATGAATGTGGGAAGTGGCCAGTAACACTGTGTATTAAGAAATTGTTGGATCCCTCAGCATGGTTGGGGAAAGCAGGAGTATTTACCTTGGTGAGAGATGATCTCCAAACTCTGCTGAGAAGGTTTGGCCGGTCTAACAGTGTATCCTGTTATCTTTATACATACATGTATAGAGGTGAATGACATGAACAGAAAAGAGATCTATCTATCTAGCTACTTGCCCACTGACACTATTTTGGAAGATCACTGTCCCTGCATCTTGGGCTTAGCATTGCCCAAGATGATTGTGATTAGTTTACAGAAATACAAACAAGCCAGAATGTTTTTTTTTTAACTAAAATAAAGAGACGAGACTACAAGCCATCCTACCCTGGCACAAAAAAAATCTACTGAGTGCATTAACAGGTTTTCTAAAACAAAAGGAAATATATCTTCAAATCACGCTGAAAAAAGCGTTTTCTGCTTTTGCATGCCTCTACTCATCAATAAGTTGGTGTGTCTACGATGAAAGGTTATTTTCAGGAGACACAATATCTGACAAGTCATATAAAGGAGTCCTTGCTTCTAAGGCAAAAGCTATGATTAGGGCCAAATTGTAATGCACTTCATTTGCCGTTCATCTGACAGCTGTCTGTCTCCGGTCCTGTTCTGTCTCCAGTGTATTCTAGACATTGCGGCTGTGGAGTTCTTGAAAATGGCCCACTCCTTCACCACCTTCAAATCCAATCTCTGTCACATCACCTCTATCTGATCTCCTGTGTGAAAGGGGTTTATAAATGTCTGAAATCACATATTATTCATCACCCACATGCATGTACATACGCACCCGGTTAAACTCAGGAAACTGGAAAGCAGTGAGTGCGGAAATGAACTTGCAGTTGCCACTGGGACTGCAACAGGGTTTTTGCAGGTGGAAATGACAGAATGGATTTATAGATGAGGTGTGTGCTTCTGAGAGGGACAGCTATTATGCATGTGGAAATAAAATGGTCCAACTAATGTCTAGATAGAGAACAATGTAGGCTAAGCACATTTGGTGGAATTCAGTTAATCTGGAGTCACCGTCTTTTTGTCTCATATCAACACTAGTGAGGCAGATTTATGTGTCTGCATACAGGGACACAGGTCGAGGGCACATTTTCACCAAAGGGAAGTTGGAAGCTTTTGCTCTCTCTCTCTCCTCCTCTCTCTATCTGAGGTTACTTCTTTATCTTAGCGCCATCTCAGTCTTATCTCCCAATCACATCTACGTCCTTTATCTCCTGCATCTTATCTGTTGTGCCAGACACAATCCAAAAGAGAGAGAGACAGATAAAGGGAGAGTAGGACTCATAGAATTAGGGAGAAGAGTAATGATGGGGAATAAAAAAGAGAGATTCAAAGGTTTTCTGTGGGTACCATTAAGCTGTGTAACAATGTGTTAGTCGTCCTTTCCACCAAAGAACAGCATGAAACTGTATCTTGTAAAATTGTAATTTTAATCATTCAAATATTTCATAATGAAAAGGCCATTTTAGGCTTAAGAATTCATTTAATTTTCTTTTTTCGTAGAAAAAACAAAAAAGCCATTATCTTCTATATCTCTGTGGACAAAATACAATGCATCTTAACTGTCTTGTTGGGTATGTATTGATTGTCACCAGGTGATAAAAGATACAATCCTGGCTCTATGGAGAAACTCTGACTCCAATCAGTGCCCTTACAAAGCGCTCACTCTGGCACTTAATTGATCCTAGTTTGCACAAACTGTCAAGTTATGATGGATAATAATCACTTGATACGATTCCATCCAGTTTTAAAGTTGAAAGTCTCTGCTAGCCAGTTGAAGAAGTCAACTGCTCTTCTAGGTGCTAATGGACTCTCTAGAGGTTGCCCCTGGTTATAAAAGTAATAACCTGTGGTAGCTGTCAAAAGAGCTCTCTCCCCTAGGTTGCCAAGGTGCACTCCGAAGGGAGTGAAGAAGAAAAGGCAGGAAGGGGGTAAAAAAAAAAAAAAAACAGTAAGAGGGAACATTTTCATTACAGCCCTCAGTGTTGGTTTCTACAGCCTCTGGGATTTCTAGTAACAGATCTAGTGCTAGTGCTCTGGTCCCCATGTGTTCCAATTATCAAACCCCTTTAGCTTCTATGCCCATGTGAGCAGCCCAAAGACTCCTGTCTCATGAGTATTTTCTGTCACACAGCTGAAGGGCCACTGA